TGCATGTTGCAATTAATAATCGACGTGGCAAAGCAACTCGCTAGGCGCGGCAGCAGCAGCAACAGCAACAACAGCAACGTGCGCCCTTCTTTTTGATTTAAAATGTGCCGCCATCGTTTTGGCTCGCACGTAGGCGTACTCACACGCAGCACACACACACACACACACACACAAACACACACACACACAGACACACATATGTATATCTAAAGATTCTGCCTCGCACCCACTTGGCTGCCCTTCAGCTCGCCGCCTCAGCAGGAACAGCAACAAGTGTTGCTGCAACCACTTGGCATCATCAGTCAAGTGTCTCGGTGTTGCTGCTGCTGCTGCTGCTGTTGCTTGGCCTGCCGGCAATGTCACTGTCTTACGATTCTGGCGGTTTCTGTTTCTGTTTCGCCTTTGTGCATCTTTGTGTGGGTCTGCAGATCGTCATCGAGCGATTGCCCACTGACCACAATAGTTGCTCGCGTTGCAGTTGCTCGCATTGTTGCTGCTGCTGTTGCAGCCAAATATATCAGCGGTAGAAATTTATTATTAATAATGCGGAAAGTAAAGCGAGTTATCAGAATACAGGCATGGAAAACAATCAAAAAAAAATAAATAAAAAAAATTATATAAAAAATAAAATTATATATTTAAAAAATAAAAATAAATCAATATTAAACATAAATAAATTTAAAAAAATAATTGCACATAAATTTAGTTATCAGAATAAAGGCATAGAAAAGAATCAAAAAAACAAAATAAAATAAATAATATAAAAAATAAAACTATATATTTAAAAAAATAAAAATAAGTCAATATAAAAAAATAAATAAATTACATAAAAAAAATTGCATATAAAAAATAAAAATATATACTTAAAAAAATAAAAATAAATCAATATAAAAAAAATAAATAAATTTAAAAAAAATAGTTGCACACAAATTTCACTTAAAGCACATTAAAAGCTTACCAAAAGCTCGTCAAAAGCTAGCTCACACAATCACAATCAAAGCAAGCTTAAAGTACTTTTAATTAAATATATATGAAATTGGTTTGAAACTCATAAGAGCATGACTTGAGGCTTTAAGCCAAACTTGAGCTTACTTAAAACTTACTTCAAATTCACCTAAAGCTCACTTAAGGCCAGCTCAAAGCAAACATTCAGCATATTCTAAGTAAATGTAAAGTTGATGCATTGAAAGCTTTAATAAATCGAAAAGCTTTCTTAAAGCTAACTTAAAGCTCAGCTAAACTGCACCAAAGGGCAGCAGAAATGCTAAGCTCATTTAGAGTAAGCTTCAAATGCATTTAAAGTTCAGTTAAATTAGGCATAAAGCTCACTTGAAGCTTTAGCTCAACTTAAAGCTTATTAAACAGTATTAAATGTTAGATTATACTAAAGCTCATTTAAAGCTTATTAAGAGCTCACCAAAAGTTCAGTAAAAGCTCAATTAAGATGAGCTGAAAGTCCAAGCAAAGCTCATTTAAGCTAATGTAATTAGCAGCAATTAAAGTAAATGCCAAATGTATTAAAAAGTCGCTTGAATCTCGCATAGGGCACGCTTGAAGACTTAAGCTGCGCTTGGAGCTTAAAGCTCTCTCACAAACAGCTTTGAACTTTTGAGCCCAATTCGTGTACATTTTGAAATTGCCTTGTCTTTGCCGCTGAACTCGATTAAGTGCGTTTTAGCGCAGCGGCACGCCCAGTGGGCGGCGCTGGCAGTGAAACGTCGCGTCGCGTCGCGTCGCTTGACGGCGGAAATTTATGTGGCCCACTAATAAGTTTGCTGGCAATTACGCTGATAAATAAATAAATCAGCGCCGCGAAACTTCGATGGCGGCGCCTTTGTGGAGAAGCCACCGCTGTTGGAGCTGAGCCGCTGGGTGCCGCGTGCTGTGGGTGTGTGACAAGTGCGGCGAGTGGTGCAGCGAGTGGTGCAGCGCGGCGGTCCAGCGGCGCCATTCAAATTCAAATTCACATGTGATCGGCCAAGCATGAGTCAGCCACTCCGCACGAAGCCAGCCCGTGTTGCCGTGCTGCACAGGGTGGGGCACGGAGTGCTGCATGGGCCAAAGAGAGCAAAGAGACAGAGAGAGAGAGAGAGAGGCAGACAGAGAAGCTTCTCGTCAGCGGCGCTTAATTAGAAAATTGCTAATAACTCATGCACACGAACAAATTTCAATATTAATGAGGTTTTAAGGCAGCAACCGCAGCAGCAGCAGCAGCAACTGCAGCGTCGACTTAATTGAAAAGTTTTTGAATCGTGCCGTCATATGAAGGAGATGCAGCAGCAGCAGCAGCAGCAACAGTTGCCAGGGCCTAGCCCAAACTGTGCACAATGGGAGGCACAGCAGCAATTGTTGCTGCTGCCTGTCTTACGCTGCTGGCCCTGGTTGCTCCTGTTGCTCATTAAGTAGCATGAAAACTCAATAGGTTGCCGTTGTTGCACTTTTTTTTTGTGTTAACGGTCGCCGTCTTTGACTGATTTAGTTGTCAGCTGAGCCGCAGCAGCAGCAGCAACAGCAGCAGCAACATGTTGCTGGCATTCATAATTAGCATGCAAGCGGCATAAATCGCAGCAGCGGCAGCAATAACAATTAACAGACCCAAATTGCATGCAACACACACACACACACGCGCGCGCGCGCTTTCCCTGTCTGCCACACAGGCATTGCAGCTGCTTAGCATGCAGAGCAGCGTTTGATGTCTGCAACAGAACACGTAGGCAACAGCAACAGCAACAGCAGCAGCAACAGCAACTGTCAATTATATTAGTTGCTGTTACACAGCTCGCTAATTCAAAAATCATGCGTGGGCAGCAGCAGCAGCCGCAGCAGCACCAGCAGCAACCTGGCACGCCAGCAACATTGCCCTCTAAGCCAGCCGCAACATGGACGCTAGCAACTTTTCTTAATTAAGTGACGACCTGTTGCTGCTGTTGCTTGTGCTCTTGCTGCATGCAAATTTAATTTGCGTCTTGTCGCGACCTTTGGCCATTGCGTGTTGCTGCTGCTGTTGCTGCTGCTGCTGCTGCTGCTGGCAGCGGCCATAACTTCTCGGCGGCAACATTTCGCATTGTTGCTTGGCCACAAATTGATATTTAACTGGTTGCCTGGCCCGGCTTGAGCCTGGTAAAAGTTCGCACGACTTTTCGCCTCGGCCCAAACGCGTATTTAACATTTACGATCCATTCAAACGGATTCTCAATCTGATCTCACCATCTCACTCTCGCCCCGCTCGCCGCGCAGTCTTCTCGATATTCTCGATTGTTGCTCGTGTCGTTATCTGTGGCAATATCTCTGGGGGCCAATCCACTTCTGCTGCTGCTTGCATTTCTATCGTGTGTGCGCCGTTAATGTTTTTACTTAACCAGCAACACACACACACACACTCACACACGCCTCGTTGCATGCTGTGTGCGTAGCACAATAAATCAAAGTTTTATTTGTTGAAATAAATTCACAGTTTATTGCTTCGTTATTATTTGCGCTGCTGCTGCTGCTGCTGCTGAATGTTATTGCTGGCTGAATGCAACAACAACTGCAGCAGCAACAACTACGACAGACAGCCATCAAACACTCGCAACGGCGGCAACGCATGCCGGAAATGTTTATTGTTTGTTGTTGTTGCATCTATTGCTGCTGCCATTGCTGATCTCTTTCTAATTTTCACCTCGTTGCTCACGACTATCGCATTAATTATTGCCACGACTCTCTTGTGCCAGCAATTAAGAGTGTTGCTCTAGCCGATAACCATACGGCAGCAGTTATCGATAACTTGCAATTGTTGACTGACTGCAGCAGGCTTGCCATTTCATGGCTCACTTTTTGTTCTCGGCCTAAACTTCTCTTGATTATAACCAAAAAATTTTAATGCCAATTTTGCGTTTGCAAAACTTGCGAAAATTGCAAGTCAAGCCGATCTGTGGCCATACCACGCCCTAGCCACAGCCTCTCCAGCTGACTGTCAAGCGGTTGTCAGTGACATTTTTGAACCCTGACCGCCTTTTTCGTCGGATCTTGCCACACGTTTTACCATTAATTAGCAATAGAGATACGAAAAGATATGACTGTGTAGATATGTGTGTGTGCGTGTGTGTGTGTGTGTGTGTGTGTGTGTGTGTGTGTGTGTGTGTGTGTGTGTGTGTGTGTGTGTGTGTGTGTGTGTGTGTGTGTGTGTGTGTGTGTGTGTGTGTGTGTGTGTGTGTGTGTGTGTGTGTAAACATTACGCAATGTCTTCAATTGGCTAAGCACTGCAACGTTTAATTGAGAAAACATTCGCATTTGTGTGTCGATAATGATCGATAACGATAACTATAGCAGTAAACAATGAACTAAAGAAATTGTATAAGCTAAGAAGTGTGTTCAATATATATATATATATAAATGTATATAGCATATGCTATATATGAAATATCTGCAATAAATATTTTGTCAATTATCTCAAAGTTATCGAAGCAAACTGATCGCAGTTGGCTGGCTTTCGCTTACAGAGCGAGCACAGCAAACGCTCATCAGAAAGTTCAGGCCTAGCTAGCTTATAGAGCTATTTGTAGAGCATATTAAATATTTATGATAGATCTTCCCCAAGTAATGGGCACGCCACAGAGTCAGTTGACGAAGTGATGAGAATTTCGAATTTACTTGGTTTCTTATAATATATATAATAATATATATAATCCTATACCCCCGGAGCAACGTTTGTTGGTGGCACAAAATGCTGTGAATGATTGAAGGCGTGCCGAGGCGCCATCTAAAACAAGCCTCGATTTATCCATTGTTCAAAGAATCATATAAATTGTCAGTTGAAGCTGTATATAGCAATACTAATACTAATACATACACCAATATATATATATATATATATATATTAATACATATACTAATACATATGCCCATCCATATACCAATCCAAATTCCAGCATTCGATTTATTTACTCACCTAATTTCTGCCCTGCCATTTGAACCAATATTTATATAAATCTATGTTTATTTGCTTGATCTCATTGCAGCAGCGTAAGCTGTCACCGACATGGGCAGTGAGCAATACTGCTTGAGGTGGAACAATCATCAATCCAACCTGTTAGGGGTGTTTAGTCAATTATTACAGGACGGGAGCCTGGTGGACGTTACATTAGCTTGTTCAGGGGGCCCATCCATCAGAGCCCATAAGGTGAGTGATAAATTAACAAAAATATAGAAATAAGAGTTATGTCTATGAAATGATCGATAAGTACATGATCGATAAGTTCTATTGACTAGAAAATAGTTAAAGTTTTGCAAAGTTGAAAGATCGATAACTGTGAATCGATTGATATCGATAAGAGTTTAGAAATATGCTTGAACTAGGTAGACAGTATAAGACTTGATAGCTCTATACCAATTTTAAAATTAATAAAAAATGCTAATTATTAATTAATTAAATAATTAATTATGCAAAAGGAAAAATGATAAAATTGTAAGTTTTAAAGTTTTTCTTTTGCACTACTATTTTTATGAACAACTTTATATAGTATATATATGCATGTAGATGTTTATATTTGCATATGCACAGCGACTGCTAAGTGGGCAGAGCAATTGCAACTGCAACTGCAACTGCAACTGCAACTGCAACTGGAAACTGTAAAATGCGGAAGCTGTCGCAATGTTGCGATCAAGGTCGCTGCTAGCGCTGGCGACGCTGCAGTTGTTGCTGCTTTTTGTAGGCCTCTCCAAATGCCAGTCGCATAAATTAACGAAGCAGCAGCAGCAATACCAACAACAACAACAACAGCAGCAGCAGCAGCAGCAGCAACACGATCAAATGCAATTTACACATTTGTCAGTAAATTGTCAACTTAGCGCGCGCAGAGCACTAAACGAGACGCCGCTGCCGGCGTCGCTGCATGTTGCTGGCGTTGCTCGTTTGTTGCTGGCAACAATGTTGACAAGGTCAGCGCCTAATAGAAATTGACTGCGCCCCGCCACGTGGCTGTCGTTGTGTGACTGTGTGTGTGTGTGTGTGTGAGTGCATAAATCATGCGTTGCCATGCAGCAGCAACAGCAACAACAGCAACAACAACAACGCCAACCACAACGCTTTGCGCACGTCTGTCAATTGAAATTCCTGTTAAATTAAGCGGAAAATATTTAACTGCGTTGCTACTGCCGCAGCAACCTGTAGCCAAGCTGTTGCTGTTGCTGCTGCTACCTTTTGATGTTTGAGCTGATAAAGTTATTTTGAATGCAATTTCTAACCAACGTCTAAATAATGCATAGAAAAACTGGTAAATTGTTCAATTATAATGCGTTTATTATACCAGCAACAACAGCAACGGCCACACTTGACACTGATATGGCCAGTGATTGCCAGACAACTGATTCAAGCATCAACACTTGAGCAAGCTGCTGGCATCTTGGCCAAACGGGCGACAGCCACAGTCGCTCATTAGGCCACGTTTAGGCGCTGACAGCGACAACAGTTGCTGATCGCTTGGCGACACAAAACGGATTTGTTGCATTTTCCAGCTGAGTATCTACCAAGAGTGCTCTAAGGCAACATTCAGTCTTAGGTTTTTAATGCAGAAATCGGCTTAGCTTTGATCCAGCCATGTTTACTTAAAGTGGCTGACGAGGCTCTGTGTTAGCCAAATTTAGCTGAGGCTGTTTTTGTTATCAATTTCGAAAACCGTAATCAAAAGGAAAAACTTTGAAAAATTGCATTTAGCACTTTTTTCTATTTTATATTTTTAAAATATATTCAAAATGTTCAACTTATAAAAATTGGAATTTAAAAAATTTTGAAATTAAAATATTTTTAAATTTAAATTGTTAAATTTTTAAAAATATTAAATTTAAAAAATTTAAAAAAAAATTAGAATTTGTATATAACAAAAATTTTTATTTTCAAAAATTTTATTTTGTGTATTTGAATTTTTAAAATCTATAATTTTTAAAATTCACAAAAAAAAGGTTTAAAATTTTTATTTCAAATTAATTTAAAATTTTTCTTTTTTTAATTAAGTATATAAAAATTTTGGTTTTCAAATAATATAATTTACAAAAATTTCAAAAATATAAGTGTTCTATTTTTATAAATTTTAATTTTCAAAATTGAAATAAAATTGAAAAAAGTTAAATAAAAAAATTTTAACAAATATTAAAATAAAGAAAAAGTTAATATAAATTCTAGCCAAAAGCAGCTAAAGCTTTGGCAGAGTAATGAAGATTTGAAATATCGAACTGAGGTCCAAGTCTTGGATATAACTTTCTATAACAATTTAGTTGATGGCTAGAAAAATTGCTGAGGCTTTTGAATGAAGAACTCTGAGCTGTGAAGCAAAGGCAAATTAAAGCCAAAAGCAGCAGCCACTCGTATCACCCATATCTAACTAGATCTAGCTCTAGCTTGAACTTCAACTCCAACTGCAACGCCAACGCCAACTCCAGCTGAGCCAAAACCTTTCATTAGGAATTGAACGGATTTGTGTGCCTTTGGAGCTGTTTGCATGAGCTGCAGCCAAATAGTCTGCGCTGACTAAGTACATAATTGTTATGGGCAATGCCTTTGGGCACTGGCTCGTCGCTGGACATGTGATGGGCGCCTTTCAGCGCGTATCTCAAGCTTGGAGCTTTTGTGGACATTGCCCAAACTCCTTTTCAATAACTCGTGCGATTTTCATGTGTTTTTTTTTTGGCTGTCGTCGTCGAGTCAACTTCATTAGTCGCTTGAACAAAAACAACATTGGGCAAACTAGCTGATGAATTCATTTCCTTTTTAGACAGACTTTCGGGTAGACGAAATTACAAGAGCAGTAGAAGAAGAGCGAGAGAAATGTAGAGAAAAAATGTGGTAAATGAAATTGAAACTGAGAGACGGCGACGACGACGATGCCGATGAATGAAGTCCTTGGCACATGCAAGTGTTGCTGTTGTTGTTATCGCTTTGGCAAACTAATTAGCAAATGTACACACCCACACACACACACATATACACAAAGAGAGGGACTCGGACAAATGTCAACATATCTAAAAGCTAATAAAGCAGGGAATTGAATTGCTAAAGCAACTCAAACTTGAAGCAAAAGAAGTCCAAGCCAAAGCTAAAGCCAAAGCCAAAGCCGAAGTGGAAGCTAGCTGTCAATTACTTTTGCATATCCTTGCACTGAATCCTTGTTGTTGTTGTTGCTGTTGCTGTTGCTGTTGATAACGAGCTCAGTTGTGACGCTGCGGGCGCCTTCACAGCCGTCCAAAGAGCGACAAAAAATTGTTAAATTGATTAAAAAGCAAAGTGTCGATGAACGAGCCAATGATGACAGCAGAGTCCGACCCCGAGCCCAGCAGACCCAGACTAGCCAGGACATTTAGTCAGGACATGCTAAAATACGAAAAAAAAAACCAAGTAAAAGAAAGAAAATAGTCGAGCTAAAGCGTGCGGCAGCAAAAACCCCGAGTCCATGCAAAGGATAACCAACAACAGCAGCAACAGGACGCCGCAGTCCTCTCTCAAAGTGCACTAAACACGCAGACCTCAACTGCTATGCAAACGTTGGGTCAACTGTAAAGTTCGCCCCGACCGCAGTCTGCGGCCAATCGAGCGAATGAACAGCTCAAAGATACCCCGACAGCGACGGAACTTCGAACTGAAGTTAGCTATTATATAAATTCACTCTCACTGTAGTCAAGACTAACACAAGATCTCACTGTGGTAGCAAATCTCGAAGGAATTTGAGGAATTTCAATGCAATCTGCGCTCATAATTAAGATAGTTCTTTTTAACTCTTAACGTTTTCATATGGTTTTTCCAAAAGCTAAACTTTGTTTTATATATATTTATTTTTATTATACAATGAATTAATTATTTAAGAATTTAATATATATATTTATGTTTTGTTTTTTTAATATTTCATAAATTTTTTTATATATTCAAAAGTTTAAGTTTAAGTTTGACTCAAATTAATTATATGTATTTATTTTGTTATTTACATTTTTATTCTTACATTCTTAATGTTATATCTTATGTTTATTTTTATATTAGCATTTTTATATTTTTTATATATATTGTATAGTTAGTTAGTTAGTATAGTTACTTCTTTTAATGTTTTTATTTAAAGAATTTATTTTATTTTTATATTTCTTCTTTATTTTTTTTTAAATGAAATTTTTTTTGTTAAATTAATTTTAAATGCATGTTAAATATATATTTTTTTATATTCTTACTCTTACTATGTACTAATATTTATTATTTATAAAAATATGTTTTTTAATATATTTAAATAAAAACGTTTCTTACTTTTTTATACATAAATTATAATATATATTTTTGTATTATATATATATTTATTTTTATTGTATTTTTTTTGTAAGCATTTTTAAAATTTAACATTTAATTTTATTTTTTTATTTTTATTTTATATTTACATTATATATATATATATAAATATATATTTATTTCATATTTAAATAATATTTTATTTTATATATATATAGTATTTTTTATATATCACATATATTGTTTTAGGTATATATTTTACATTTAATTTTATATTTATTTATAATGTTTTATATTAATATATTTTCTATTTGATATATTATATATTTATGTTTTCTTTAAAATTTTTATTTTAAAATATATATTAGATCAGAGATCTTTATGAGTTTTTCTACTGTTTGCGCTCTACTCCTTGAGCTGCCCTCGCATGTCGAGTTACCTTATATTTCTATGCACATGCATGACCATTCATGCGTGTGTGTGTGTGCACGTGTGTGCTGTAGTTTTTGCTGGCCGCACAGCCGCAGGCTTTTGTAATCCCTTGCCCAACATCATCGTCGCCGACCCCCTCCACCGCCCCTTGGAGGCCGCTGGCTCTACGGCTTGACACCCGCAACTTTTGGATGCTGCGGCCAGTCGGTCTCAATGCCAAACGGCAGCAGCACTTTAACTCAATTTGAGGCATTTAACGTATGCTCGGTTGATATTTGATGCGATTTGCTAGTCCACCTCCATTGTCACTTTTTTTAGCCATATTCGCAGCGGATGTGTTGCCCCAAGGCAAACAAAGTGTAACAAATGTCGTTGGCAAACTGTTCGCAGGGGGCGCTGTGTGGGCGGCTGTGGCGGGTGTGGCAGGGCTTCCACTAAATTGGGAGTCAGTGACCACTGAAGCTTGCTGCTGGTGCTCAGTGGTGCAGTTG